CGGTGAATTCGCCGCCTCTCTCTCTCTCTCTCTCTCTCTCTCTCTCTCTCTCTCTCTCTGCTACTGACCCGAGAGTACTTAGGCCAAGTACTTTTTGGACTTTATGGGGATCCGTCTTGTTTCCGCGTTCGCAGGAGATGCCGGCACCGTCGCAGGGTTTTTCTGGCTTGGGGTATCGTGGCCACGCAGCGCAGATTCCATTCCGCAAGAAAATGGACCGTTAAACTTTTGGAAAAGAGCAGCGAACGGTCTCTGCAACACAAAAGATGGGGAAGGTTTAATTTTTTTTTGTTTTTTTTTTATGTCCGGGTCCAACAGCCCGTATGTCCGTGGTCCATATGTGTGTGCGACAGGCAACGCTCCCTGGAGGGCCTAGACATGGGAACGGTAGGGCAAACAAAACTTTTTTTCCCAGTCCACAGCTGGTGGCCGCTCTGGGGACGTGCACGTAGGGCCGGTAGGGCAGCAAACCGGCGGCATGTGACATACGACAAGGAGAGCGGTCATAGGCCTTCTCCGGTAGTCGACCCGTGGTAGTTCTAGTTTGGGATGCAGCCGCCACTCGTCATCTCGTCTTTGACGTCGGATGTCAATCGCTTCCGTTACCTCGTGGTGCTCTGTTGCCATGCCCTGTTGTCATTGGCACCAGTAGCAGCGATGATAGCTGAAAGGGTGGCCTGGGGACGGCGTGGATTCCATTGACGTGTGGACGTGGCTCCTTTGCCATGCTGTGTCGTCATTGGTAGCAGTAGCAGTGCCCGTTGAAAGGGTGGACAGCGCTTTCCTACGACGTCTCGACGTGGCTGCAGGACGTGGGTGGTTTCGTCGTACGAGGAGTTGAACGGTCTGTTTTTTCAGACCTTGATTTTTGTCGTCGACGTGGCTGCAGGACGTGGCTGCAGGGTGTTTTCGTCGACATGGCTGGAGAGTGAGGTATATTTTTTTGGTTGCTTTGTTTGTTTATTTTGTAGAATTTTTATTTGCTGTTTTGCATTATCGATCCTCTGTGGAGTACGTTGTCGGTTGGAGTATGGGTGCCGAGACAGCAATGTTGTGGAAGTGGGAGGCGCGCGCTGTGCATGACAGATTGCGCGCTGTGAAGGTCGATTATGGTGGGAGAAACGTGTTTGTTTTTTTTGTGCTTTTTTTTTTTTTCGTTGCATTGCCATCACAGAGGAATAATAGCGCGGGCAAGCACCATAGACAAGTTGCAAGTTTTTGGTGTCGAAGGCACGTGGGTTGCTGTTTGAAATTCCTGAATTTTGCATCTATTTCAAGCTGATGCAGTTTGGAGTAGGTCGTCTCTCACATCCTCTGCCAACACAGCAATCTGTGGAAGTGGGAGGCGCCTGCTGTGCATGACAGATATCTGTCTTCACCAGAAGATCTGTCGTTTGGAGGCGCGTGTTCGTGGAAGAAAAAACAAAATTTAACTGATCTAATCTTACTCGCAGGTCGAACAAAAAAAAAAACCAACACGTTTTCACTACACACAGAAAGCAAGTTCCACTTGTACATCCCACGCAGGTTGCTGTTCGAAACAATGGAATAATTTTATAGTCGTGTCTATACTTTTCGTTGACTGGGTGGGAGCCCGAAGTTGAAGTTGGGGGATTGCAATCTTTGATTTTGCCGGATACCGAAGTTGAGATTTGCAAGTTTCAATTCGTGTGTGACCAAAGTGTGTGGATTGCAAGCTCCGTTCGTGTAGTACTCGGACTCCGTACGTTACAAGGTATGGATCAGTCACAGCAGCTGTCGGGACGCCGTCCACCATCGCCTGCAGACTCCATCAGGCAAGGAGGCTTTCATGCAAGCCCTTTTCATCATCACATCCCGGGGCAAGAGCAGCAAACCATTGTCGAAGGGGCAGATGGAGGTCGAACGATGGCTGGCATGTCGTACGACCTGCCGCCTCTTCCGACATTCAAACACAAGTCTGCCCCGCTGTACAACGCAGCGAAGGCAGGCACCACACACAACTCCACGACCGCTCAAAGCAACGACGTCATGTCTGTCAGTGGATTAACCTACATGCGGCCGGACGGCGGACAGCCTCCTTCGACGGGATTTTGGGGTTTGCTATCAGGAGGAGGGACAATGCCGCCACAGCAGATAGTGGGGATGCCTTCTTCTGGATTGCATGCTCCTCTACGTATGGGTGGTGGTTCTTCGACGCTGAGCTATGGAGGGGCCGAAGGGACCACGTACATGGGAGCAAAAGGAATGCAGTCGCCGGCTGGCTTGACGCTGGGTATGGGTACACGGGGGGGGTGGGGGGAGAACAATGACATGGACCAGGCCCCCACTCTGTTCACCGCCGAAAGAGCGCCGGCACGGCAGTCGGCGATGACACCTCCTAACGCCGAGTATCAGCATTCTACATGCAATGCGGGAAATGATGACGGTTGTGGTAGGAGGGATGCTTGCATGGGTGAGGCCTGGAGTGCGGCCACTGTCGACATCGCTGGCACGCAGGCTGGAGGACGTGGTGCACAAGTTTTGGAGGACGAAACGCACGTCGTCATGATAACCCCGTTCAACATGAGGGAGAAAGACCTTCATCATCCACCCTCAGTGGTGCCGTTGGAGGAGGACAGGCGGCGGGGAAAGCGAAGGTGTCAATCTGGACTGGGGAACAGGCGAGACTGTGGCGCTCCTGATGTTGCTATTCGAGGAAGACGCTCTGCAGCAGCAAAGAGAAAGGAGGCAGAAAATGAAGACAAGGAAGGAGAAGTACGAGTGGATCGTTGTCCAGCTGGTTGCACAGGGATTCGGTAAACGTTCGATTGTGGAGTGTGAACTGAGGTTTTACAACCTCCTTGATAATGCAAGAAAAATAAGGGATTTTCACGACCGGTCGGGTAGAGGGCCGTACTGGACCTGCAATCGGGCAGAGCGCAATGTGGAGGGGCTGCCATTGTCGTATGACCGTCAATTCTACAAAGCGTTGACGTGGAAGCTCGCTAAGCAGGAAGGCAGTTGCGAGACCTTGGTTCTCTCAGAAGATTATGTGGGAGGCCAAACCAGTGGCGTCACTGATGGTGATGAAACGGCTGGCGGAAGCGACAATGCCAGACAGCGAAGAAAAGGGGGGAGTGACAGCGGAGAGCAAGGAAAAAGCCACATGACCGGGGGAGGGCGAGGGAAGAGCCATGAACATGACCCCCACTCCCCAGCTGGTGCCAGGAAGGGAGGTTCGTTCGCGGATGTTGCGCACACATTGGTGGATGCCAACGAGAGGACTTCGGACAAAATTGTCGGCAGTTTCGTGCAGGCGATGGACGGGCTTAAGAAGACAATGGCCGAAGGAAATGCCACACGCCCACAATGCTTCACAACGCTCTCGGGGTCAATGGGTGGGCGGCGTGACTCATTCCCTCCACAGCATGACAGTGACACGGGCGGGCGGCTTGCACCTCATTAGTATTACCGTGACAGTGACATGAGAGGTGGCGGTGGAGTCGCCGGTTAGTTGTAGCTGTGGAGGCCTGTTTTCGTCTGAGTGTTGTTTTGTTGTTTGTCCAGTATATTCTGGTGTTTTGTCTGTTGTTTTTCTTTGTTTCAAATGTATTTTGTGAAAGACTCCATTTTTAGATCTGCAATTGACAATGTGTAGGCAGCTGAGCCGCAGCTCCTCTTTTTTTTTTTTTTTTTTTT